TGAGAACCATTTTGGGGAGGGGGGGGCAGCGAGAGGACGGGACCCCTCCAAACATGTCCCCAGCGGGTCACCCCGGGCACCCCTTCTGCGTGGAGCACCCACCATGACCATTGCAGCGGGGAACGGGAAGGTGATGGGGGGACACCGGGAACCCCGCAGCCCCCCAGTGATGCTGCCACAGGGCCACCACTGCCGGCCACGCTGGGGCACCACTAGCTGTTAGTCCGCTGCTTCTTGAGCACTGTGTAAACGTCATCCACTTTGCTGAGTCTCTCGAAGAAGGGCAGCAGGTCCAGCAGCTCCGTGTCTGCCATGTTGTCGAACCACGAGGCCACCGGCACCTGCGGGCACAGCCACTGGCTCAGGACCTCGCGTCCCTCGTAGCCCCATTGCGCCACCACCCAGACCACCCCCCCCACGGGGTACGTACAGCGTTGTCGGGGTGGAAGATGTAGGAGGCGGGCGAGTTGTCCACGATGATGATGCGGCGCAGGTCGCGGCCCAGGCGGCTCAGGTCTTTCACGTAGTTGCCCCGGTGGAAGACGCAGGACTCGCGGAAGAGCCGGGCACGGAACGCCCCCCATTTATCCAGCAGGTCGGCCACGGGGTCCGCATACTGCGAGGAGAGGGGAGGTCAGCAGGTGGGCAAAGGGAATCGAGGTGGCTGTCAAGGTTCAGTGGTCCCCTTGGGTGGTTGGGCAAGGGAGACAAACGGTGGCCAAAGTCCGGTGGTCCCAAGGTCAGTGGGTGGTTGGCCAAGGGGGACCCAGCGGGGCCCATGGGTGGTCACCAAAAGGGACCACTGACATCCAGCATCCAGAGGTGCCCATGGGTTTGTCACCAAGGGCCAGAGGTGGACAAAGGTCCAGTGATGCCACAGGTTTGCGGCTGCAGGGGACTCATGGTGCCCAAGGAAGGGGACAACAGGGTAACTGGAGCTGCCACTCACCTTGGCCAGGCTGGCGGTGAAGAGCACACACTCAAACAGCTCTCCCATGCGCTGCAGGAACTCGTCCACATGCGGCCGCTTCAGCACATACACCTACAGGCACAGGCACTGAGGGACCCAGCGGCACATAACCCTAACCCTACGGGGGTTGCCAGCACCACCCCCCTGTGACCACTGTGGTGGAGCCCCACACCACAAAGGGCACCACGTCCTGACCCCGGTCAGCAGCAGGGAGGAGACGTGCCCTGTGCTGGAATGAGGGGACACCGCTTGCTGACAGTCAGGGGGGTGCCCGCTATCCCTGGCATCTCCAGGGTGAAGCGTTGGGCGGGCTCCGGAGCCAAGTAACCTAGAACAGGCTGACTGTCAGATCACAGCCTATCCTGGATTACTTGAACCCAGCGCCAGCCTCTTTGGGGGGCACCCCACCTGACCCCCAAACTCCTCCCAAGCCCTCACTGCACAGCCCCATACCTGGTGCATGATACCATCAATTTCCACCGGAATGATGAAGTCAGCGTTGTTCACCGGCTGCAGAGAGCACAGCAGAGTCAGCGTGGGGTAGGGGGCTCCCATGGCCCATAAACCTCCCTTCCACCCCAATAGGGGTGCTCCCACCTTGAAGGAGCTGTGCACCAGTGTCTCATCCAGGTCGATGACCACACACAGCTTGCTGGCATCTTGAGGCTTGATCTCGGGCAGGAGGTGCTTGACCGCAGCCTGCAGCAGGGGGGCACAGCCAGGGGGTCGGTGGGGGGGCGAGGGGCACCCTCTTCCCTTCTGCCTTGTGCCCAGGTCAGGCAGCAGTGTCTCCTTCTTTAGTTACAGGGGGCTGGGGCACGGTGATCGAGTGCCCCTGGATCCGCCCCCATTTTGGGGTAGGAGTTCTGGAAGGGGGTACCTTGGGCACGGTGCCATTCTCCTCCACCAGCAGTGGGGCATTGTTATTGACGGAGAAGGGCTCAGCATCATCGTGGCACAGGCAGCAGAAGAGGGACTGGAGGATGCTGCGGCCCCGAGGCTTCTTGGCAGCGGCCGGGGGGCTCTGGGCACCTGCGGGATTGGGGAGCACAATAGGGGTTGGGCACCACCAGGATCCTACAATAGCTGCCCTCTGCTGAAGCTGGGGGGGAGCTCCTCGAGGTGGGCAACCCCCCGAGGGGTGCTGAGACCCCACGGACACGCGTGGGTTGTGCTGTAGGAGGGGCCGACCCAAAGGGGAGGGGCCTAGCCATCTTTCTTCCCGCCTCCCCGCCAACTGTTCGGCTTGCTCATTGGCTGGTGCAAACGACCCGGAGGCGAGGAGCCAATCGCGGTGAAGCACACCCCGCTGGGTGCCGTTTCCTGAGCCCCCATTGGTGGATCGCAGGGAAACTGAGGCACGGACACCTTCAGCGCGGCCGGATCCTGCCCCAGCCCGAGCCCGAGGGTCGGGAGCGGGGCAGGGATGCTGCCGGGGAATGGGACGGCTGCCGACCCTCATGGATCTGCTCCTCCGAGACTCGCAGGGCCCTGGGAGCCCCCACAGTGGGGCAGGGGCTGCCCCCCCTGCGATCCCACGCCGGGACGCCACGGAGCCGCGTCCCTCCGTGCCTCAGATTCCCCGCGGCGCTTCCCCCGCCCCGCTCTCCCCGAATCACCCCAGGAGGGACGCAGACGGGGAATGACGCGTGGAGCAGTGCAGACGAAACCCCCTTCCCGTGTCCCCGCGGCCCCGTCCCGGTGCACGCAGCCCCGCGGGGCCGCACTCCAGCTGAGGCCAACCGCAACTCATCACACACTCCGCGCCCGTCGCCGCGCACGGGGAGAGAGGGGGGGGGCACGTGGGGGACCCTGAGCAACGCGGAGCAAAGGGTCTGACCCTTGGCCCTATAGGAAACAGGGCGGGTGGGGGAAGGCTGGGCTGTCACCGTGCACCCCATAGTGCCATGCAGCGAGAAGAGGGGGAGGTTCGGGGGGGGGGGGGGAGGGAGGGGGGTGAACGCACAGCGGCGGCGGGGGCCGAGGAGCGATTTTCCAGATTTAGCCCCCCCGACCCTCCCCTAAAGCAAAACCCACAGAGGGAGGAAGGGAGGAGGAGGGGATGTGGGGGGGTCCCGATGCCGGATTATTTATAGGAGGGGGGCATTACCTTTCTCCTGCAGCGGGGCGGTCACCTCCTCCTTGCTAACCTGGGTGATGATGGACTGGTGGTCCATGGGGGGGAGGGGGAGGGGGGGGCAGGAGCGCGGAGCTGCCCCCCCCCGGCTCGGCCCCCCGGGGAAAGGGGGGGGGGGGGGGGGGGCGGGAGGGGCGCGGGGCGGGGAGGGGGGGGCGGGCGGCGGGCGCGGGGCGGCGGGCGCGGGCGCGGGGAGCGGCGGAGGAAACTTTGTTACAACATGGAGTTTCCTCCGCACGGTTTTTTGCTACAAACATGGAACCCGGACGCGGTTTCAAGGAACCCCTTAAAAGGGCAATGCCAACTCCGTAACCCAAACCCGCTTCCCCCCCCCCTTCACACCACCGTCCCCATCCGGCTCACGCCCCGTGTAGGAGGAGCAGGGGGTCGCCACTGCCCGCACGTTTCGGGGGTCTCGAGGTGCTGGAAGTCCCCTCCGCAGATCCCTCACCCACCGCCGCACAGCCCCGCTCCCTCTGCCACCACTTTGTCCCCACCCCTCAGCAGCTGCCGAGGATGCACCGCTGCGGTTTTCTTTCCCTCCCCGACAATCCGCAGGGAACTCGGGGTCACTCCACGAGGACGCGCCGTGGGGTGTCCCCGTTTGTCCCCCTCCAACCCGGACCGGTGGCGACGCCCGTGGGTCCCAGCTGTCCCCTGTCTGAGTCTGGGGTGCGCTCCGGTGGGCTCGGGAGCAAAGCCGCGTCCCTGCGCGGTGCCACCACCGACCACACGGAGACATCGAGGGGAAAAATCCCCCCATCCTGCAGGGCTGGCATCTGTGATAGCAGGCAGTGCTGCCCCCGTGCCCTGAGGCTGCGATGTCCCCTGTCCCCGAAGAGGAAGAGGAAAGAAGCGGCCGTGCTTCCTCCGGGCCCTATTTCGGGCCGGATCCCGCCGCTGTCGCTGTCCTTTTCCGTACGGGGATGCTGAAGCTCTGGGGCCCACAGGGGCACACGCAGAGGCCGCACGCGCTGCCCGCTCTGTGATCCCGCACGAGGAGGAAGGCCTCGCGGTGCGGTGACAGCTGGTGGCCCTGGTGATCGCGGCGCCGGCCCCAGCACGACGAAGCTCGGCTTCTAATTAACTAATTAATGCAATTAGCGAGGCTCCGAGGCCAGGCTGGGAGTCAAGCACTCGAAGTATCAAGCATCCCTCCAGCCGCCTGCACGCTCGGGTACAGAGTGGGGGCTGGGAACAGGATGGGGACATGGCCTCATGCTGCATGTGTCACCGTCCCCATAAGGACCACAGCGTCTCCGCAAGGACCTCTCTGTCCCCACGAGGACCAGGCTGTGCCTCAGGCTCTTAGAGAACCATCTGCGACAGCCGCCCCCTACTCTAACCCTAACCCTGCCACGAGCTCAGCCGCCCTTGGGACACGCCGTCCCCTGCTGTCCCTATGCTCTCAGAGCCCCTCCGTGCCCCCGAGTCTCTCTGCCCTCCCCACTCCATGCAAGGGATGCCCCTCGCGCGGCCCCGAGGCCGTGGGAGGAGGATGGGGGGACGGGACACACGGGGACACCCTCGACCGGCGGTGGGCCCCACCGGCCCGGCTCCTCCTTCAAGCAGCACACAGCCGGGCCAACGCGGAGGGGGGTGGGGGGAGAGGCACCGCCCCACCCGCGCTGCCATCGCCCTTTTAAGGAAGGGGAAATTCTTCACATAAACAAGCGCGGTGCCCGGAGCGGGGGGGGGGGGAACTTTACCCGAGGGGAGCTTTGGCGGGTGGGTCTGGGGGAGGGGGGGGGAGGCAGGCGGCTGGACCCCAAATAGCGCCTAGCCCTCAGTGTCATTTGGGAAGGGGGGACTTCGGGGTGGAGGGCGGGGGGGGCAGCCCGTCGGAGGGGGGGTGGGGGGGGGGCCTTGAAACAGCCAGGGAGCGTCTCGCAAGTGCGGGCCGCGGCGGGGGGCGCAGCGCTGCGGGACCCCCCCGCCCCAACACAGAGAGGCGGAGGGTGCGTTACAAACGTCAATTTATCGGCCCCGACCCCCCCATCCCGCGCCGGAGCCCCTTTGGAGAACAGCCCGGGCCCGTGCGGGGACAGCCAACGGGCGTCGCCACGTTTGGGACCGGGGGGGGGGGGGGGGACGGGGGACGGGACACACACCAGGGCTCTGGGTCTGCAGGCAGCGAAACGGGCGGAGCGGGCTCCCCCCGGGCTGTCCCTGCGGTGAGCGGCTGTAATTAGCGGTCCCGGCGGTAATTAGAGGAGCCTCCGCTTCCCGGCGCTGATGAGCAGGGCAGGGCCCATCCCGCTCGGCCCCCTGCCCCCCAGCACCACCCAAGGAGAGGCTTTTGCAGAACCCTCCGAAGTCTGTTAACCCCTGCCGTGCGGGGGGCGTTTCCCTAGAAAGCATCGCCCCCCGGGGCTTGGTGTGGCAGCAGGGCGCTGTTGTGCGGGACGGAGCCCGTCACTGCGGCCCTGCCGCCCCCGGCCCGTCCATGGTGAGATCGAAGCTGAACCGGTTGTAGCGTCCCCTGGGCAGGAACCGCGCTCCGTGCGCGATGCTGCACGTCCAGAGCTGAAGGCAAAGAGGGCACTCGTTGGAGGCACCGCGGCTGTAGAAGAGAGTCAATACCTCCACGCACCCCCAGCCACCTTTTGCCCTTACCAGGTAGGCGACAAAGGCCACGTAAGCTACCAGCAGCAGCCCCAGGGGAACGAGGTAGCCCAGGCCCCGCAGCGTGGGCAGGAAATCCACCACGAAGTACACATTGATGGCACAGACCAACCCCGTAATGAGGGACATCAGCACCTTCCCCAGGCTGCAAGTGGCAGGCGGGTATGGGCACCAGAGCTCTGTGCTACCCACCCCGGTAAGCAGGGCGGCACGAGCCCAAATAGAGGGGTTGTGCGGCCCATAGCCACACTTCACCCCACTCTGGGGCCACCGGGGTTGCTGAGGACAAGGAGGTGTTCCCCCTTCCCCCCCCCCCCCCTCCCCACGCACCCCAGCACTCACAGACCATTGGCGAAGTCATGCATGAGCGGGCGCAGGCTGGTGAAGGTGAGGACAGGCAGCACGGCGAAGGGCAGCTGGAATTGGGTCAGAGTGAGGGGGGCACAGTGGCACGGGGGCCCGGCTGTGCCCACCCCTCACCAGGATGCTCTGCAGCACGTTAAGCAGGTCATTCATGCCCGTCAGCTGGCTTATGTCCCTAAAGGCAGCCACGAAGAGGGTGGGCAGGATAGCCAGGGAGCGAGTGAACAGTACCCGGGTGAAGCGGGACCAGCGCATCTGCAGGAAGCCCTGGGGGTGAGGGGAAAGATGTGCCATCAGCCCTTGGCGTGCTCCCAAAATTCTGTACAGACGTGTTCCCTCCGCGCCCCCCCCCCCCAACTCCGTAGTGCTCAGTTCCTGCAGGGCTGCAGGGCCCCGCTAGATGTCAGCCCCTGCTCGTTAAGCGAACAGCTCGTTAGGGAAGAAGGACCTCACATGAGGGGCTCACGGGGAGGTGATTGCCGAGTGGCAGCAATGGGTGGGCGCTGACCCCATCCCGGCTCTCAGGGAGTCCAAGTCTGCCCAGAATAAATCTCCCTGACAAATGCCCCTGTTGGGGTCGGGCTGCCCGTTGGACCCCTGCCCAGAGCCCACCCTTGAGTTACCTCTCCCTGTGTTCCCCTCTCACCTCCATGACAAACTGTCCTGCGTAGGTGCCTGTCATGGTGGAGCTCTGCCCTGCTGCCAGGATCCCCACGGCCCAGATGTAGAGCGCTGCAGCCCCAAAATAGCAGCCCAGGATGACACCCTGCGTGGCAACACTCTGATGGGGATCCCAAAGTATTCCCCCTTGGCATAGTGAGGGGTTGGATTTGGGAGACCGGAGGCAGCATGGTGCCCCCAAAACAGCCACCAAGGCTAGCTGGCCGTGGAATGCAGCCCAGTGCCACTCACTCCCTGATAGATATCCACAGAGACCGTCTCATTGTTGATGGGGAAGATGCTGGCATAGTGACTGACACTGCTGTTGACACACTTGTTATGCTGCAAAACACGGTGAGCATGGCTATGAATTCAACTCTCCACCCATCCATCCATCCATCCATCCATGGCCAAGGAGCTCACCTGCCCCTCTCCACCCCTGGTGCAGCTGCCACCTCCCTGGAGGGACTCACCACATCCTCATTGCGCTGGTGGTAGAAAGCCTCTCCAAAGACAGCCATGACGAAGAGGTTGATGAGGAAGGAGACGAAGAGAGCGAGGCAGGACTCAGTCAGGAAGTACATGTTGGCCTCCTTTACCTCCTCCTTCTTGGAGCGGTCAATCGCCCGGGTCTGGGCACGGCAGGTAATGTGCTCCATGGGGATCCATTACAGCCCCCCATGGGGAAGCCATTCACCTCATTCTACCACGTCTCTGCAATGGGGAACTTGTCCCCTGGTCCCTTCTCACCTTCACCAAGGAGGAGTGCAGGAAGATGTTATGGGGCATGATGATGGCACCAACGATGCCCACAGCCTGGAGCAGCTCCTCTCGCCCACAGCCCGGGCAGTAGGGCAGGAAAATTCCCTTCAGCACCTCTGTCTGCGCTGGCCTCACCACCATGTACTGGGAAGGGGTTCTGTGAGCTGCCCCCGCCCCAGCAGCTCATTTGAATCATTACAGGCTGGGGGGCCTTTACCTCGTAGCCAAAGGTCAGAGCCATGATGGTGATGAGGAGGCCAAAGAAAGCCTCCAGCTTGCGGAGCCCTGCAGAAGGAAGAGATGAGGAATGACACACTGGTGCCTGCACCTCTGCAGTGACATCTCAGGGTCTGGATGAGTGGCCCCCATCCCAGTGCCCCTGCACTCACCATACTTGTCAAGGAAGAGGAAGAAGAGGGTGTCTGTGATGGTAATGAGAACACCACCCCAGAGCGGGATGCTATGGGACAGGAGAGCAGGGATGTCAGCCAGGTTGGTGGAGCATTGGGGTGGGCTGCGTCCCTCACTGGGGTGCAGATGGGACCTGGCAGCACCCTGCAGGTAGTTACCGTCCGGCTGAGAGCAGGCTGAAGGCAATGGCCGTCCCGATCACCTCCTGCATGTCTGAGCCGATGATGGCGATTTCCATCATGAGCCACAGCAGCACACGGGGCACCTGGAAGGGATGGGGATGCACGGCGACATGCTTGAGCCCTGCGGGGACCCGGCCCTGGGATGCTTGGGATAGGGGTGATGGGTAGAGGGTGCATGAGGGGGTTGCAGAGTGCAGTGAGAGGGAGAGTGCAGATCAGACGGGCAGGACGCAACTTGCAGCCGCTTCTGACGCTGGGACTCAGGCGTCCTCACGTGGGATTGGAGTGAGTATAGCTGTCTCCGTGCCAGGCAGTGGGGTGCGTGGGGCCAGAGGGGGTCACTGGGGCTGGGGGATCGGTGGGAGAAAAAGGGCTCCTCACCCACACTGTGATCCCCCTGGGTGCTCACCGTGGGGTAATAGAGGTAGCAGATCTCTGCCAGGTCCTTCCCCGTCACCACGCCCAGGCGGATGGCCAACCTCTGGCACAGCAGTCCCAGCACTGTGGCCCACAGCAGCACCCACAGCAGCTGGGGGGGCAGGAGAAGGACAGCACGGGTTGGTGGTGGGCAGCACCCCGCACCTAGTGGGGTCACCAGCAGCCTGGGGCTCACCTTAAAGCCGGCCACGGCCCCACACTGCAGGTCTGACTCCACGTTGCCTGGGTCCAGGTAGGCGATGCTCATCAGGAAACCAGGGCCAGTGAAAGCCCACAGCTTCCTGAAGCTGAAGCCGGGCTGCAATGGGGTGGCAGGTCACAATGGGATGGGGCAAGTCCTGTGGGGTCTGGTTGTTCCCGTTCAGAACTGGTGGCTCTCAGTTGGGCTACTGGTCGCCTATTTCTGTGGAGCCCTGCACTGCCACGTGGGCACATGTTGTGCATGGAAGGCATTTCTCTCTCCTCCAACCCCCTACCCTTGCCCTTCACCACTGGGGTGGACAGCGAGACCCCAGTGATGTTTGGGCATGGGATTGGATTGAAATTTGTTACGGCACAGATGGAGCTGCCGCCCTCCTTGTGCCGTTAACAGCATCTTGTGCAATCACACTCCAGTGAGCTGCTTTCACAACTCCATTCCTTCCCCTTCTCCCTTCCTCTCTCAGGCAACAGCTGGGGCTGGAGGGGCCCCAGGCTGCTGGGGAGGGCCATGGGACTTGGCCACCCCCTGGGACAGGAGATGGGGTGGCCCTCAGAGCGGGGCATCAGTGCCTTGTGCCTTGGTTTTCCCTTTGGGAAAGCTTCAAGTGTGGGAATGGGGCTGCAATTACTCTGCTGGAGCTGGGGCTTTGGACATCAAGGTTCCCAGGGCATATCCTAGACGTGTCCTTTGTAGTACTCAGTATCCTCAGCTGCACCTACCGCGCTGCCTCTGGGGATGCTGATGAGCTCATCCAGGTAGGTCTGAGCACGGGGAACAGGGTGATGCGGGGGGACAGGGATGTTGCTGGCGTCCGTTTGGCCTCGGTTCAGGGACCCAGTGATGCCTGGGAGAGAAGGAAGAGGACAAGGGGAGGAAAAGCAGGAGGGCATGTAGCAGCTCACTACATATAAGAACAACACCAGGTCCCAGCTTCATCCCAGAGACATCCTCCCAGGGAATGGCCCCACAGCTCCAGGGGGCTTGCAGCCACTGGGGCCAGCAGTGGTGGCCCGAAGCAGCCAGATGCCACCTCCAGCACAAGTGTCTGTCAAAGCCCTCTCCCCAGGCCACCCGTCACCAGCCCCAGTGCCACAATGAGTGGGTGCAGAGGGTATGATGTACCCAGCCAAGATGGGACTCACCTGGCTCTAGTGATGCCGTAGCAGGGCTGGATCCAGACATGGTGCTGGGGAACCCCTACCTCTTTGTGCTGCACCCAGTGCACAGCTCTTATAGCTCCCAGCCCCCCCTCCAGGGAAAGCGGAGGAGGAGGAGGAGAAGGAGGAAGTGCTCCTTCCCTGCTTGCCACAAACCTAGGCTGGGAAAAGGCCTCCCAGGGGGCTGGGTCTCAGTTCCCCACCTGAGCATGGCGTAAAGCAACCTCCCTTTCATCTGGAAACACGTATCCAAGGGTGGGCATTGTGCCCATGTGTCACCCCCACAGCACAGTGTCAGGGTCCTGCTGCTTAGAGCGGGGAACACGGGCAGTTTCCCACAATGGAGGAGTTGCTGACCCCGTTGAAGTGGGAGAAAGGCCAAAGGAGTGGGAGTGAGAAGGAAGCAGCATGCATTTCACAGGCACGTGAGCAGGGCAAAATGCACCCCGGGCTTGGAGAAGGTGGTTCAGAGAGTGCTGGGTGCTGGGGTGGAAGACACTCTCACCCAGAAGTCTGGGGAGCTCAGTGTTGGTGTGAATCAGGCTGCACCTTGCAAAGTTCCCAGGGCTGTGGAGGGACCCTGGGGTGACACCCCTAGGGGACACATGGAGTGGTGGCAGGGCACAGGCCTCTGCCACATGGTGAGCCCTAGGCACTCCATAGCCCAAGGGAAAGCTTTTTTCTCTTTCTTTTTTTTTTTTTTTTTTGGGGGGGGGGGGGGGGGAGGAGGGGAGGGAAGGTGGGAAATAAGCCCTAAACAGTCATGAGGGGCTCATAGACAGCTCAGCCTCCCAGCCCTCCCCATGCCTCAGTCTCCCCAAATCACACGAGAGAACTTCAGGAGCACTGCTGATACCTTTAATCCCCCTGAGCCAGGGGACTGGGACAGGAGATGCTGCTGAAAGGGCTGGGGGATACGGAGGAGGCAAAGCGGGGCCCAGGGGGCTGGTGGCGGGCAAAGGGAGCAAAGAATTCTGCAGCAAAGAGGATGGGGTCGGGGGGCTGGCGGAGCAGCAAGGCCTGCAGGAAGTCAGCCAGTAGTGCAAAGAGCTCAGGATGCTGCTGAATGTAGGTGCTGTGGGACGCTCGCAGCTCCTCCTGTAGGGTTGAGGACAGGGTTGTCCCCATGCCAAGCTGGTGGGGAGCCTGGGTCCTTCCCTGCCTTTGCAGAGGGTTTGGAGGTGCTATACTTCTTCCCAGGGGGAATCCTGCTGAAGAGCAGCATAATCTCATGTCTCTCATCCCCAAGCCCCCCCCTCACCTTCCTGTCCAAGAACCAGGAGCACAGCTGGGCATCCTCCTCCCAGTCCAGCAGCTGCTTTGGGAAGAGAGGCTGGGACTCTGCATCCATGCCGCTGAGAGCAGGTGCATCCTGCAGCACAGCAACCACCGGGCACCCCACCTGCACCTGCCGAGCCAAATGCCTGCAGAAGGGCATCAACGCTGAGCTCCTCCATCCTGATGCCAACACCCAAACCTGCCTCACCCCAGGCCGGCACCATACCCGCTGGGGAGGAGGCTGTAGTGCCACACCATCGGAATGCCCTGGGCAGCATGCAGGGCTCTCTCCACCACCAACACTTCCGCCTGTGCTGAGCCCAACGGCTGCTGCCGCATGCCCAGGGAGCGCTGTAGGGACACAAAATCACTCTGTGCCCACCTGTCATCCTCGTGTCAGCCACCCGTGCCCCCCAGGGTCTCACATAAGTGGTGGTGCAGAGGTGGCCCTCCTTGTCGATGGCCGGGAAGGTGATGTTGGGGGGCACGGCACGGCGGCACGCCAGCACCCGCAGCAGCAGCAGACTGGCAGACTCCCCCAGCAGCCCCTCCAGCGAGGCCCAGCTATAGGAGAACACCTGGTGCTGTGGGTCTGCCTGCAGGGACAGCCCAAGGGACACCCTGGAGAATCCATTCAAATTGCTGTCCAGGTAGGAGGGAAGGGTGGGAGGAGGTGGGGGATATCACCTCTCCCTCCTGGGTGGTGACAGTGACGGTCATTCCATGTGGGTGCTGTACCATGTGGATCTTCCTCTCCATGGGGTGTGCTCCAAACTGTGGGGGGAACAGAGCCACCCAACATCCCTCTCAGTTGGTGCAGGGGGAGAGGGACACCAGGGTGCCATAAATAGGTTCACTGTGGGAAAATCCCCATCCCCACTGCCACCCAGGGCAGGGGACTAGCCGCTCAGGTGCATAGGCAGGGGCACCGCTTCAGAACAGAGGGACTAAGGGGACATGCCACCACCACGGCTGCCTGCTTACCTCCAAGCGCTCATGCTGCTCCTGCTCCAGCGTCTCCAGCTGCATAGACACATACCCTGTGGGAGCAGAGCTCTGTGCACCCCGGGACAGGGACACCACTGCCCCCAAGATACCATCCCACCCAGTGGGATGGTGACATCCCACTCCAGTGTTCCCAGCTCACCCGTGAGCCTGCAGGAATATGGCACGCCATCCAGCAGCCCCTGGGAGCCGGCCTGGAGCAGGAGGCAGCTCCTCACCAGCTGGCCCTCCTGCTCATAGGGTGAATGTCGGGCTGTCACCCAGAGATGTCCCTGAGGCTGTCCCCCTGCTGCCACCAGTGCCAGCGTCTCAGCGAACAGGCAGCGCTCCAGCTCCTCTGGCCCTGCGCAGGGATGGTCACTGAGCGGCCCCCAAGGTGCTGCTCCCCTTGAGGTCACTGCACCCCAGGGAGAGGGGCTGGCACCCACCGATGCGGTTCAGGAACTTAGCAGCTGCCTGCATGGGGATGGAGTCTTCTGATGGGAGACAGCAGTGCTGAGGGGGTCCTCCTGAGAGCCTTCTCCCCCCCCCCCCCAGTCTCCACCCTGGAGAGGAGCAGCAGGCAGCGCTGCGGAGCAGCACCCCCAGTGCCCCCCCCCCGGAACCCCATGGAAGAACACAGCCTTCACCCCTTTCCTTCCCTCCCCCCCCCCAAGTGCTGTGGTTCCCCCAGACACCTCTCAAATTGCAGCAGCCCCCTCCCCAAATTCTCACCCCCTGCCCCATATAAGTCCGGGGTCTTCTCCCCCCAAACTCCCCCTTCCCACCAACCCTCGGGTTGCCCTCCTCCTCCCCCAAGCCTCAGATCTGTACCCGTCGACCCGAGCTTCCCCCCCCTCCCCTTACAACGCTGGCAGCCGTTGGCATAGGAACGGCCCAACCCCATCTCTTAAAGTGGCCACAACCTCACAGCAATGAATAGCTTTTTTGGGAGGTGGGGACAAAGGGGTACGCCCCCGGACACAGAAAAAAGTGGTTGAGCGGGAAAATATTCGATTTAGACTTTTATTTGGGGGAGTGTACAGGAGTTTCCAGTCCTCAGTACAGAAGTACTACCTGCACACCCCCAGCACTGTGCCCCCCATCCCAGTGTATGGGGGGTGGATAAGGACACGGGGGGGAGCCCCAGGGCAATGGTGGGCACCCAGGCTTCCTCCCTGCCCCTTCACCCCCAAAGGGAGACATATTAATGAGGGGGAAGGGGAATTCCCTGAGCACTGGGGGTAAATTGGGGTCTCCCATAAAACAAGGGGGAGGGAAATAAGGAGAGCCCTTAGTGCTGTTCCTACAGCCCCAGAAAAGGGGCAGGGGGGCCGCAGACCCCCAGAGAAGGGATCGTGTGGAAAAGGGGGTCAGGGAAAGGGACCACCTATGAGGTGCACACATGGGGTGTGTGTATGGGGGGGGGGGGTCCATCCTTTCCCTGTATCTCCCAGCAGGACTAAGGAGGAGGGGAATTCACAGCAGAAAATCACATAGTCCAGAAGACCCCCCCACGTGCAGAGGGGGGTCACGAGGTGGGGAGGCTCACTAGGTGGCCTTGTAGAGATCCTTCCTCCTGCGCACCTCCCGCAGGACGCGGGCTCGGAAGGCATCACGGTGCTCCCCGCTGCCCCGCTGCAGCCCCAGCGCCTCGTGCAGCTCCCGGCGGTGCGTGCGCAGGAAGGGGTTGTAGGTCCGCTCCTCGCCCAACGTCGAGGGGCACTGCGGGGTGGAGAACAGCGCTCAGCCACATCGTCCTCCCCACAGACACAAACAGGGGCGTGGGAGGGGGAGGTCCTCACCGTGCTCCTCTTCTCCTGCCGCTGCTGAGTGGCCCAGAGCAGCTTCTGCTCCAGCGCGGGGTTGTCCAGCTCCAGCAGGCGGGCGAAGCTCAGGCACTCCAGTGCATACTCGTGGCCTGGGGGCAGCACCTCAGCATCACCCCAGAGCAATGGAAAGGGGCAATCTGGGGGCTTTAGGGTAGGGGATGCTCACCCGGCCACAGCAGCGTGTCCTCTCCCAAGCCCATGGCTGCATCCAGGGAGGCCAGCATGGTTTCGGGGGAGCCCTCAAACAGTCTTCCTGCGGCCAAACACACAGCCACCATCACCGGGGGAGGGAGGTTCAATTGGGGGGTCCCTTCCTGCAGCCCTTCAGGACTTCAGTGCCCAACATTTAGACAACACGGGATCGCTGCACTCACCGCAGCCAGCCAGGAAGAGCAGGTCCCCGGAGAACAGGCAGGGGGGGCCCCCGAAGGGCCCTGCATCCAGCACAAAGGCCATGTGCCCCACGGTGTGGCCTGGTGTGGCCAGTGCCTCAAAAGTCAGGCAGCCCACGCTCAGCTTCTCCCTGTCCCCAATGGGGCTGTGCCAGCAGGGAGGGGGGGAGCACGGTCACAAATACCCAAAATACCCAGCACAGCCCCCGCAGGGTTCATAGCATGCCAGGGTGCTGGCACGGGGGGAGGGTGATCCAAATAGATGGAAGGATGACTGCAGCACTTACTGGGTGAGCTCGGGGATGGCATCGACAGCACTGCCATACACCTTGCAGGAGCTGTGCTGCTGGAGCAGCGCCGCGTTCCCTCCGCTGTGGTCCCTGCAGGTGAGCAGGTCAGTGCATCCCCAGTACAGGTTAGGAATGGGGGCACACCATCTCAGCAACACTTGGAGCTGAGGGGGCTCATAGCCTGCCAACCCCAGCTGCCCCACTCCCACAGAAGCAGGCTTTGCTCTGGGATCCCCACCTCAACAAGCGTCCCCAGCACCTCTAATCACTCTCCAGCCCCCCAGTACTCCCTTACCAGTGTTTGTGTGTACAGAGTATAGCCTCCAGCACCACCCCCTCCTCTTCAATGGCAGCCTGGCAGGACAGA